TAAAGACTTCTGACATTTTGAGAGCTATAAACATCACTGCAGACAGAGAATGGTCCATAAGGAAATCATTATCACTTATAGTAGTAACTACTCACCTAATTAATTTGCAAGTACCTACTGAGCACTTACTATGTGCCAGGTATGGTATTGTCCTTCAGGGAAAATATACATACATACATACATTCATACATACATATATACACACACAGAATTGCATCATAAAGTTAACTTCATGGAACAAGGGGGAAATATTAACACAGAACTATGTCCACATTCTCACATACCCCCACCAGTGCCATGTCCAGCTTCTAAAGTGATTTCTGGGTCTGCCTGCTTGGCTCCAGGGTTTCTTTCATCAGTCTACAAAATAGGTACAGCTAATCATTGGAAGGGGTCAAGAATGGCTAGATTTATTTACTTTAAAAGAACCTGATGCGACTAGCAGAACATAACATCCTCCAAAATGGAAGGAGAGGATGAAGAGGAAAGAGGACAGAAAAGAATCAACATTACTGAGAATACAGGAGTGGGAGAGAAGAGATTTTACATGAGCAACTGCTGTGAACAGGGAGACTTTGGGCAAAGGCAGGTAAAAGCGTTCTCTAAATTAGGACACTGTTAACATTTCCACTGGTGTGATATTTAACAGATTTTGGTAAAAAATTAAATTTCTTTTCAATTTTTAAAAATGTTGGATTAATGAGTGTTTTAAGACTGGCCTAGAAGTGGTCTCATTAGAGTTACATTCAAAATGCCACATTGTGTTATTATAAGTTTGACTCTAGTAGAAAAACAGCTTTGCATTTCCAAACCTATTATACTTTAACCATCTATCCCAACCCTAAATCCTGACCCACTATCATTCAAAGCCACTGACAGTAACCTTAATTTCTGAAGATTCTTCCAAAGAATTCCATGTAGTATTAGAATTTCCTGAACTCAGTGCTTCTGGCATCTCAACTTCTTCACCAGCAATGCTTTTCTAAATAAAAGTATGCATCTAACCCTGTCATTTTGTTATCTCTCAAGATCAAAATACTAAACAAAGAGAAACCAATTAGTAGACTTCCTCTAAGGACTTTTTCACTGAACAGAGTTTTTGTTCACATTGGCAAATTCGTATTGTTTTAATCCTATCCTATAAACATAAACATTTTAGTGATATTAATTAAAATACATGAGTGAGGTACAGCCACATCATATAGCACCTGTGTAGTGTCCATCAACGATAAAGGTAAACTAGTATCAGACCAATGGCTGAGTCTATCATTAGTGAAAATGGGAAACAGATTTTTTCTCTTTGACTTCAAATTTCTACAACTTTAAAATCATCACAAATGCAAACTACTACTATAGTCTCTTAGAAAATCAGGTATAAAGCTAATCAATTACCCAAACTTTAACAGAAAGGAAAAAATCCTTCCACAGTTTAGTAAAATCAGCTTAACTCGTAAGTAAATTAATTAACTTTCTACTTTTAAGACTAAATTCAGCTCGAATCAGATGGCATTCTAAATACCACCCAAGAACTGACAACCTCTCTGAAACCAATTACTCTCAAAGTATGATCAAGGGAGGATTTCAGAGGCTCCAGATGTTCTGAGAACCATCCTTAAAATGCAATGGTGTGATGTGTGAGTGCCAAATGGTCCTCATCAAACAAAGGACAGGACTTGAAGGGACTAGACTATCAGAAATCCAGCCATCCTACCTCAATCTGCCTAAAACATAGAAATAAATTGGCATCATTAGTGTAGATAGAAATAGGTTCAGGATCCCTATGCTAAATAAACAAATTATAGATCAGAATTTAAGTGGGCCACAATTTTCCCAACATTCTCCCAATACAGCTAGGACCTCCAGTCCTTTGTTCTAACTCACTGCAACTAAAGACTCTTGTGTACCAGCACATCACCTTATTTGACACTAAATCACATGGCTTAAGTAAGAAGATTCAAATGAGACTTTTCATTATAAATGCTTCCACTATCAAAGTGCGAAAACACATTTGAAAATGTGCCACATACTGTTACTGGGGGGAAAACGTCTTTGCCCACTGCATCATTACCTTGGGTCTGACAACAGTCCTAAACACAACATTTTAGAAGCGCTTGGTGATCTAATATCTAAATTGCTTCCTGAATAGTCCATGTTGAATATACAGTGTATTAAGCTTAATTTCTCTAAAATTTTCATCCAGTGGCTGTCACCTTTCATATTAGGTCAAACTACAAATTTTTTACTAAAAAGTAAATCCTTCCAAAACAGTTACATAACTAAAGTTAGAGCTAAGAAATTGAAGTTTTTAATAAATTTTTCATAATGCCAACACTTAAGCTCATAATTCATTTCTAATTCATTTTATATGGCCTTTTCTTTCTTTTTATATATTTTCTTATGTTCTTGAAAGTTAAACACTATTTCAAGGAATCGAAGGTAATACAAGAAACACTTTCGATATATCTGACCCATGGGTAGAACTATATAGTAGTCAACTTTTCAATTCAAATTCCCTTTGAAGTTACTCCACAGAGATTTAAACAAATACAAAAACAACAATTTCTTGACATCCATTTTATTTCAAAAATTTAAGACGCTCTCTTTTTCTATTTATGGTGTGTTACGTCATTGTAGTGGCCACTGCTACAATGGTTATCTTTCTAGCATCCATTTCCCTTTTCCTCTTCATAATGGAAGCAACTTTCCTTCCATTCCTCCACCTCATTCCAACACTGGAAGTTCTATGGATGGGCTCTAATTCATTCAAACCAACTCTGCCACTGACTGATTCAAGAACTTAATGCAGTCAGGAAATGGCATTCTCCTGGAGACTCATGTTAGGCACTATATAGCTGTTCACTCTCTTCCCCTCATCTTAAGGAAACTGTATATCAGTGGCCTTTCCATGGCCTGCTGAATAAATCCCAAACTCAGCATTCAAGGCTCTCTACTAACTTTTACTACCTTTTCAGACTTTTTTCTTTTGTCCAGTGTCCTGTTCTAGCAGCTAGGAGCTTGGCCTTTCCAGAATATGCCCCTGCACTTTCCATTCCATATCCTTTGTCCAGGCTGTTCCTTCGTCTAGGAAAGCCCAACTAATGCCATCTCAGTCAATTTAAATCCTACTCAAAGTCCAGATCAAAAGTAAGCGTTTCCATAATGTCTTTCTTGATATCACCATTAATAAATGGCACTCATCATATATTCCTTGTATCATAAATCATTTGTATATTCTTACAACCTATACTACAAACCACTTAAGGGTTGTGGACAAACTTGTGCATCTTTGTCTTCCACCACCTTCCTTCCCCACCAGACACCCAAACCCTGAGTAACTCGATAACAATTTGTTGAACACATAAGCACTTTTTTCATTTCTGAGGGTAAAAAATGCCTCTACAGAACAGATTATTGTGAAGGCTGAAATGTCCTTGCTAGTCTTTTAAAACATCCTAGGATGGCTAAGGAATAGTTCTGCTGAAGGAAAAGAATCAAAGCAGATGACCTTGTAAAGCAGATTCACGAATCACATCAACTCTTTAAAAGTACTGCCTAATAATTAAAAAAACTATATACAAATGCTACTTTAAAAAGAGAGTTACATTTATTATAACATACAAAAGAACAGATTTTTTACCATAAATGTCAGCTATTCTGATAGTAATACCTATAATATTTTCAGTTATATCCAAGGGATTTGTATAAAAAGCCCACTTACTGAATCTTATTTCACACTTGAAGGAAGACAGAGAAACATGTTAGCTCTCTCAAACTAGCAACCAGACAAAATTAATTTAGAAGCACATACCACCGTCACTTTATTATTATCTACACATCATCACTAAAAATATACCTATTGAACTCCATGAAAGTTACCTGGAATTTTGATGATTTCCTTCACTGGATTCTATGAAAAAGATATACAAAGTTTTATATTCTTTTCTCTCCTACTAAGTGAATTTGTATAATTTAAGTCAGCTAATATTAGGTTACTTCAAAATCTATGGGTACATTTTCAGTTCAAAATCTATGGGTACATTATCAGTTCAAATAAGACCGTAAAACTATGGGAAACATACTGATATCTCCAGAAAATAAACAGGGATAACCACCATATTCCAATCAGTGAACATGCTTTTTTAAATAAAACCCTAAAGAATAAATCTCAGTGAATCTCAACATATCAGAAAATGGGACAGAAAACTTGATTCCATAAGACAATGCACTCACAAAAGAAAAGGGCACTGTACAAGATGAAAATCAAGAGTTTAAATATGATGGCTAGTCATAGAAATAGAATATAAGAAAAGTTAGAGAGTAGAAAATTACATTTAAATAGATTTTTTTAAACCATCAAGAAAATTAAACACATGTCTATTATTTGTGTTCTAATATTGTTATATTCTATATATTTTTGTAAGCCAATTTAAATCCTTTGGGGACGAAGCTAGCGTATAAAAAAATAAATTCTTGTTTTCAAATATAGTGTAGCATACTGTATAGTTATTTTTAAAATAAAGATCACATTTTCAGTGAAACCTGCATATGCCTGGTAAAGGTACAATTTAAAGTTTCTTAAATTATTTTAAAGGCATCTTGTTTTCCTGGAGCCGCCTGGTAACGGAAACTAATTCTAAATATTGTTTCTCACTGTACCCAATAAGTACGGGAGTTCGTTATCTAAAAAGGCAGACAGCGGGGTCAGAGTCAAGTCGGCGTCGGATCCAGGCTGGGCCGTAACCGAGTAGCAGGTGTAGTTACCTCGAATCAGGGAACACCTGGGCTGTGCGGGAAGCCGGGAAGCGGGGCGCCGGCGGGAGGGCAGCCGCGGCGGGTGGGCGCGTGAGCCTCGGCCGACAGCTACGAATATGGCCCCTGAGTAAGTTGGGTTCCCAAGACCTGGCACAGGCGAGCAGGCTGCTTGCGGTCCCCAGACAGCTCCTGCCCGGGCCGCTGGCCCAGCCTGGCCCTTCGGGGAGGGGAGGGCTCCGGCTACTCACCGTGCAGAGAGAGGAGCAGCAAAGGCGCCAGACGGGAGCCCGGAGAAGTCATCCCGGGGCCGCGGGGAGCGCGCCCGCCGCCCGCTAGAGAAAAATAAAGCCCCATTGGGATATGGTGCTAGGACAGGGCAGATACTTGTTACATGACTGGTTCTGGACACAAGACTTGCAGTCTTTGAAACTCAAATCTTTGCTTCAGCAAAATGAGAAATGACTACCTTTTTGAGGACACACACACACAATCCCATTACTAGAATGTCTACAAAGGCCAAGTTTACCATATAATGTTTGGAGATATAAAGTAAAACCAGGAGCACCAAGAATAGACTGGGTAGAAAGGGTCATCATGGGTCACAAACTAAATATTACTGGGATATGAAATGCCTTTTCTAAAAAGTTTAAATTACATATGTCATATGTTCCTGGTTAATAAAACTTGGGCTGTTGTATAAGAAAAATTCAATCAGTGACACTGGGCTCTAGTAATGGGAGTTGACATATAAGGGCTGGAAACTGACGCCTGCTGCCCCGCACGCCTCCGCGAGCGCCGGGAAGCCGGCGGCCCTTGCCCTCCTCGCCCAGGTCGGGCCCCTCTCCTGCTCGAAACCGCAACTGGGACAAGTGGTGTCAGTCCTCATCCCCAGAGAGCCCTTGGAGGGACTCTTCCACCGCCTCCGTCTTAACCAGCAAGATTCCTTCCTGTGGCAGTTTTCAGATGATCTCTATTTGGCAATTTCACTTTCTCTCCATCCTCTCTTCTGTAACCCAAATAATCTGAAAGAACCTGACGCCTGACTACTGTTTCTTCCTTGAAACGAGCGAAGGAGCTGTACCATACTCCTCGCTCCCCATTGTCGGAGACTACCATCTTCTCTTTTCCCTTTAGTACAATTTATGTCAACTTCTAATATTTAAAAGTTTATGTTCTAAATGGTATAGCTTTATTAAACTAAACTGAAATATTTGTTAACTAGTGAGGAGGTGATGGGGGGGGGTTGTTACTTTCATTGGGTTTTTATTTTTGTTCCTCGTTTGTTTTGAGTGGGAAGCGAGACCCTACTGGCATCTGAAATTATTTTACTTAACTGTCTACCTACATCTTCACCTAATCTTCGTTCCTTTTCCATTGAGGTCGCTGGCAGGTGTCCTACAGCCCCACAGCCACTTTCTGCTTCAGCCTCCAACCTGAGCCTTCTAAATTTGGGGACATACCTGCCCAGGGAATGTCAGACCATTCTGGTCAATTTCTGCAGCAGCATAGATTAGGATTCTTGGAGCCATTCAGAAATTCTGAGGCCTCATCTAGCAGATACAATCTGCCCAGGGCAACTCAGGAGGGAAAATAGTTTGCCAAAGAAATAGGCAAATATGTAAAACATCTATACATTTGGACAAATATTAAAGATATGTATAGAAATGAAAATAACCGTATCAAGATGGTAGAATTATGGCTGCATTCTTTTTTGAAAATGTTGCTGTTATAATTTCAAGTTTTTTAAAAAAAGAGAACACATTCAGAAATGCCATTCACCTTTAACAAGAATACCTTGAAAAAGTATAGTTTGATTATGAATTAGAAATACCTCAGCTTTGCTCACTACTTACAGTTTGCTATAATCCCTTACCAGATCTCTAATGGCAAGAAAAGAATGATATGACAGTAGAGAGTCTTCGATATTTATAACAAGTTTTAAATTTCAACTCTAATGTCATCACTGGGCTTAGTCTTATTTCTTTAAACTCCAGGGCAAGGACTAGACATTTCTCCAACCAATCCAATTTTTTACCTTGTCTTGCACATACTCCTACATTCTAACCCAGTCTCAACCAGCATAATGGTAACACAGAGACAAAATCAAGTAAGTTGTCATGTAAAAGGTACTACTCAGAGCAGGATTTTGCTCCACTATAATCCCAGATTTAAACATAGAATATTATTTAATTAAATAAATAGCCTAATATTCTAGGCTGAAAAGCCTTGATAAAAGCAAGTTACCTGGTATACTTATTAGCACATCAGTTCAGCAAATACTGAGTATCTATCTACATTATGTAAGGCACTGAGTTGAAGGTTAAACATAAAGTGTAAGATATAATTCTCACCCTTAAATAACTTTTAATTGTATATGGCATATATCTGTACAGTCAAGAATCAGCAGAGAAAAAGAGCTCTCCTGCCTCTTTGTCACCATAGTGTACTTCTGCCTTGCCCAACAGGAGCTAGGGACTTATTAAGAAGACAGACTGCTCACAGTTTGGTGGAACAGCCTTTTTAGTAGAAAAAGAAGTGTGGTTTCTGGAAGGAGAGTGAGGACGATCACATTTCAGGAGGCAATCTGGCTGCCCAGAAGCTCAGGGGGCAGATGGTAGATGGTAGACTCAAAGGAAGCAGATCGGGAGGACTGGAAACTCCGAGTACTGTACACAGAGACTTCCAAAGGGACACCCTTAGAGGAAACAAAGAAAAAGGTGCTTTTCAAATCAGAGATAATACCACTGGCATATATTTTTAAGAACATTTTTTATTAGTAATGTTGGTTTTCACCAGCTCTTTTATCTTTATCTGCCTATGACCACAGTAGAATTTCTGTAAATCTCTTTAAGTATTCTGAGTGCTAAAGCAACAGACAACATCTTATGTTTCTATAATACTTTATAAATTTCAAAGTACTTTCACATACATTATCTGATTTGATCTTCACAGTAACCACAGGGGGTATGTAAAGCAGGTAATATCACCCCCTCTTCACATAGTAAGTTACTGAATCTCTAGAAGATCAAGGGACACCTCAGGGATTGCAAATACCAATGGGCGGAACTGGAAACAAGTTCTTCTAACACTCACCCTATAGTTTTTCTACCACATCACAGTCTTTTTCTTTTATCTTTTTACAGACTAACATCTAAAGAAATGTATATAAACCATATTGTCTTAAAGCCATCCGTGGGGAACTGCAGTTGTCTCCCCAACATTTATGCCACCTCTATCCCACCACCACCCCCAGATGACTAGCTGTAAAGTTTGAATGAGATTGCCACCCCCCAACTCTAGGGGAACTTTAGTTGGTCTAACTGACCAAAGAAGAAATGGAGAGGGGGAATAACTAGGACAAAGAACCCTGGGGTAAAAGACTTGTAACATAGTAATAATCTTGGCTCAAAAACACTGATGAACCACAATAAGATACCATCTCACACCTGTTAAAATAGCTGTAATCAACAGGACACGTAATAACAAATGTTGGAGTCCATGCAGAGAAAAAGGAACCCTCTTACACTGCTCGGTGGGACTGCAAATTGGTACGGCCACTAAGGAAAACAGCATAGAGTTTCCACAGAAAACTAAGAATTGATCTACCAAATGATCCAGCAATCCCTCTACTGGGTATTTACCCCAAAGACTTGAAAAACCCGTATCCAAAAAGATATTTGCACACTGATATTCATAGCAGCATCATTCATGGTGGCCAGGACATGAAAGCAACCAAAGAGTCCTATGGTTGATTGGCTAAAGAAGCTATGATACATATATACAATGGAATATTACTTAGCCATAAGAAGAGATGAAATACTGCCATTTGCAACAACATGGATGGACCTCAAGATAATGATGCTGAGCAAAATAAGCCAGACAGAACAAGTAGAAAATCACATGATATCACTTATGTGTGGGATATAAACCTAAAAACAACAAAGGAACAGGACAAACAAACAGAGACTCATGGACATGGACTATAGACTAGTAGTTACCAGAGAGTAATGGGTGTGGGGAGAGGAGAGATAGACGGGGTAAAGGGGGTCAAATATATGGTGACAGAAAGAAATCTAACTATGGGAGGTGAACACAGTGTAAATATATATATGCCTTACTGTTAAAGTGTACAGCTAAAACTTATTGGATTTTGTCACCCAATGTCACCATAAAAATAAATAAATAAATAAACAAATAAGGAAAAAAAAAAACACTGATGACATGAGAATACAGTCAACTTTTAAATATCTAAATATGAATTATCCAAATTCAAATTTTAATCCTATACCTGCTTCTCTCCTCCACCCATCAAAATGCTGGATCATCTCTCCTCAATCAGTCATTCTGCATCCAAAAACGGAAAATTAATTTTATTATTATTTTAGGTGAAAAATCATTAAGAAAGAAAAATTATGGAGGAAAATATAAGGCTTTCCAAAGCTAAATATAAATTATTTTTATAATATTATCTATTTTGTTAATACCACCTGTTCTTCATTTCCAGGCAAAGTTACTCTGAGCAGAGTCTCTGTGACAAAGTGCTATTGAATTCATTCTAATAGCAAATTTAAAATGGCATCACTATGTTTTGTTAGGACTTTCAAAAGGCAATAGCATAAGAAACATTTCATGTGACCTGAAAACGTTTTGTATTCTCTTTCTCGTAAGATAATTTTCAAAAATTTTTTCCACGTCTTTTTACCACTATTCACTAGTCTAAACTAATCTGCTTGAAACTCTGTCACTTGACTTTATATATTGGGGTACTGGCAATGAGTCATCTCAGGTTTTTTCAAATTCTGGTGAATTTTCCATAGCAGTTTAAAGTGCATTTAAGACTTTCATTACTGGCAACAAAACAGATTAGAGACCTTGACTTACAAAAAATGTAACATCATATTTTTAAAAATCTTAAATGAATTGATGATCACTCAGTAAATATGGAAAAGTCAAGCCAAAAGCTAGATGAAGGAAGGAATCCTTCAACAGTCTATTCTCAGCACAGAATCAGTGTGATCCTATTAGGTCAGATTAGATCTCTCCTCTGCCCAAATCATTCCAATGGGTTCCTATCTCAGAATGAAATTAAAAGTCCTTACTATAAATTACAGGGCTTGTGTTAGATTTCTATTGCTGTTATAACAAGTACTGCAAACTTAATGGTATAAAACAACACAAATTTATTATCTTATCTTAAATGAGTCTCACTGGGCTAAAGTCAAAATGACCACAGTGCTGTGTTTCTTTCTGTAGAATCTCTTTATCTTCTTCATCTTCTAGGGTCTACCTACTTTTCCTTGGCTAATGACCTTCTTCCATCTTCA